CTCACCCACCGCGGCCAATCAAAACTATAGTCACAGAAGTAACGAATACAATAAGCCATCTTATATCAAAAGAAGGTTCATAGATTTTGGAACAAGCACAATATCTTACAAGTCATTGATCCTAGTGATCAAAGCTTCATTAACAACACATACCTCTCCCGAAATGAACCTCCTGATAGACTAATACTGTTCGTTCGGGTTATTGGCTACTTACACACGATCCTATGGATCCACAAATTCAACCAGCCATTCCCCATGGTTCAGTGGATTTGAAAAATAAGATTTGGAAGCTTCCGATCATTCCGAAAATTAAACACATGCTGTGGAGGATAACATCACGGGCTCTACCTACTCGTTCTAGATTAACTTCAAGAGGAATGAATATTGATCCACATTGTCCTCGTTGTCCAGCTGAAGAAGAATCGATCAGTCATGTTTTGTTTAACTGCAACTTCGCACACATAACCTGGCGTCTCTCAAATTCTCCACTATTGAATGGACATCAATTCTTAGATGATTCAGAGGAAAATGTAGCTTACATTGTAGAGTCTTATGGAAACCAAAACCTTACTGAAACTCGAAAACTACTTCCATTTTGGCTTATGTGGAAAATTTGGAAGGCTAGAAATAAATTGGTCTTTAATAACTTCAGAGAAAATCTATCACAAATCGTTTTACAAGCACAAGCCGAAGTGGAAGAATGGATTTATACATCGGGATCAAACTATGCGAAAACTTCTGAAACAAGACAGCCACAAACTCAGAAATCCACTTGGACAAAACCACCTATTTCCTTTGTTAAATGTAACTTTGATGCAGGTGTTGATATCAATTCTTCTCGGGGCACAACTGTAACACCCCCGCCCCGTCCTAAGAACATGAATGAGATGGGTAGCATCACGTGTGGTTGGCGACCGCCCGCAGACAAATCCGGCCTAAGATCACCCGAGGCCGCCCGACCGCAGAAGACCGCCCCTCGCGACCAAGGGACTAAAAGGCTTTGCAACCCGTACCGCGACCGCGAGTTGGGATTAGCCCTGACTGGACTAATTGGAGGAACACGAGAGTTTAAGAAAACACTTTTTTTATTCATATATAATGTATTGAAATACATTACCAACTACATATAGGTTTTGAGTACAAGAGCCGAAGCTCAAATCAGAATCATACATACTACACAAAAATAATACCATTTTACAAAGGTAACGCAAACTAGACCGGCTACCCTAACGTCCGTGCTTCCACTAAAGTTTATGAATAAGGATACCTACAAAAGAGAGTGAGGGATGAGCACTACTCGCCCAATGAGTCCTAGCTCCCTCTAACAAGCAATAATTCCCCAACCCAAAACCCAAAATAACAAACAACATGCGGAAGTATAACAAAATTCAAGCAATCAATAATCTAAACAAACAAGCTGGTTACCATGAGTGCGTCGACTACATGGAACCACATGCAACACATAATCAAACATAACTAGAAAACTCACCTTGATTCGGCTGAACGGTTTAGACTCGATCTATTCCTAACTCGAACTCAGCCTCCGATCTTTCCGACGAATCGGTCTGATCTAACCATCCAAGACGTTCCACCGAATCGTTGGATCGGAAGGTAGCATGCGCATCAGTTCGTCGAGGCTCGGAGAATCTATTCTGATTCCCGAGGTACTCGCCGGGCCGCACCCCTTTTCCGACCAACAGCTTCGTGGTCCGTTTGGTGTGAATGAGAACAAATGAGGCGGAAGGACTATTTATAGGGGTGGTAGGTCGGTTATGGGTGGATAGGCTCGTTCGGTCTAATCCGCAACTCTATCCAAAAGCGCGGATTAGGACAGACGATCTTATCCGTATGCGCGGATAGACTCGGACGATCTTATCTATAACGGATAGGCTTAAACGTTCTTATCCTCAGTAATACTTATCCTATTTCGTTCCTATCCACAACCATACTTATCCGAATTCTCGTCCCTATCCGATCTCGCTCTTATCCGAACTCGTCTCTATCCACAATAATACTTATCCGCTCACGACTATTCTAGGCCATTCATTCTAGTAAGCTTCTTAAACAACAACTTACCTATACAACACACTCGGCCTTACGTTTGGTCCGATCAATTAAAATCCCCGATCCTAAAGCATGATCTACATGATCCAATTGCCGATTACTCGAGCACAAGTAAAGCTCGACGAACACGTAGCGGCTCGTTTGGCAAATGGTACAAAGAAGCGTCTAGTAAGGGATGAGAAATAACTAATGGACATGGTACCGGGTGAAACACATCCCACATACTATGGGACATTACCGCTACGAACGGTGATCATCTTGTAGAACCATACCACGACGGGTTCACGCGTTCACTCGATGCATCCACACATTAGTCTCAGTCACCCAAATCCCCGTTCCCTTCGACACTCCCATCCGGTTCCCCGACCACTTACTAAAGACCATCTCCAAAACTGCCCGACCGATGTTCCGACAAAACAATACTCGTCCCGTAAGGACTTCTCTCGATCGTTCCGTTCGTTCGGCCTGCTAAACTATCAACTAAAACTTTTCGGACTAGTCCTAGTCCTGGTGACGGGTATTACAACAGCGGTTAAATAATTCGAGATAACCAAGGGGAGGCTAAAGCATGGGGTTCGTCAATGTTGGCTCACATTTCTTCTCCGTTAGAGGCAGAAACAAAGGCTCTGTTAGTGGCTATGCAGCAAGCTTGGATTAGAGGTTACAAGAAGATTCAATTCGAAGGGGATTGTGAGATTCTTATTAAGGCGATCACAGGTCTTTCATCACATAGCGAAATTGCAAATCTACTACTTGATATTGATCTTTGGTCATCCAGATTTTCCTCAGTTTTATTTACTTTTGTAAGACGTCATTGTAATAGCATAGCACATTTTCTTACTTCTCCTGCTTGTAACAATAAAGAGTTCTATTTTGACTCGGTGAATCAGCCTTTGTGGCTCAGAAACCTTCTTTGTAACGATTCAAGTTAATCAATATATTCAGTTTGCAGAAAAAAAAAAGTTTATGTGATTATTAATTTATTACATTAAAGAAACCATATATTTATATAAGGATTTTAAAAAATTATTACATTATTATTTTATCGAATTTTGCTAATTTTTATATTGTTCTGATCTGAGATCGAAAAAATTATTATTTTGTAGTATTTTTATTTTTTAATTTATCGAATATTAATTTATAGATATTTTACAGTATATATTAATTAACAGATGGTTGATATTAATTTAAGGGTTTGTTGGGAATATAGTACGTTTACGAAACTTAATTGGGAAAGTAGTACAGTTACTATTTATAATTAGGGAAACATTACATTATTCCTATTTGTGTAATAGAATTTGTGTGAGATAGGAGAGAAAGTGGGGTAGAGTGTAGAGAATGAAAATTACTAGTAGGGGCTTTATATTTGTGAGAAAGAGAACGTTGGTCATGGTTTTTTTTTTCTAATTTCTTTTATTTTCTCTATTATCTCTTATTCTCCCAAAGTCTCATAATTAAAATATTCGTTAGTAAATCTTTTGTTTCTAAAATTTATCAAATACATAAAAATCTATGTTTTTTTCTCTATCATTTGATATGCATTTTGTTTAAAAATTTTTTAAAAAATTATATTATAGACTACTGTATACAAAGAATGATTGTACAGATATAGACAAGTGTACAGAAGAATGACTGTACAGAAAAATGACTGTACAGAAGAGTGACTGTACAGAAGAATAACTGTACAGATATAAACCACTGTACAGAAGAATGATTGTACAGATATAAACTACTATACAGAATGATACATCTGTACAGTAAGATACATCTGTACAGCAAAATACAACTGTACAGAAGTAAATCTGTACAGAAGGATACATCTGTACAGAATGATACATCTGTACAGCAGGATACATCTGTACAGCAGGATACATCTGTACAGCAGGATACATTCGTTACCTTTCGATAGGCCTGGGCATTCGGGTTCGGTTCTTTTTTTTCGGGTATCGGGTCTATTCGGGTAGGGAGTCGAGACCTATTCGGGTATTCTAAAAATTCGGTTCGGGTTCGGTTAGGGTTCGGGTCGGTTTGGGTATTTTAATAAAAAAAAAAAGCAAAATACCCGAAAATAACCAAAAATACCCGAAATATTTTCGGGTTTGGGTCGGGTTCGGGTTTTTTACTCGTATATACCCAAATCTAACCGAAATACCCGATTTCTCAAAAATACATTGGTTACTCTTTGCACAAATATAACTAAAACTATCTAAAAATACTAAAATTACCCAAAAGAAAACTACATCATTAGTTACTTTTTAACCAAATATATCCAAATGTATCCGAATTACTCAAAAATACCTAGTATATTCGGATTTATGATTGTAATTTTAGGTATTTCGGATATAATAAGTATATATATAACTAATATTTTTAGGTGTATATTTGTATTTGGGTACCCATGGCTATTGGATTCGGTTCGGGTTTTTTCGGGTAGGAGGTCTTGGATCCATTCGGGTATTTTTAAAAATCGGTTCGGGTTCAGTTCGGATATTTTTTCGGGTTTTTCGGTTCGGGTGTTCGGTTCTGGTTATTTTGCCCAGGCCTACCTTTCGATGTCATGTATGTTACCTCTCGATAGGCTTGTTCTACGGGACAAGTACATGACAAATCTAGGAGCTGATACAAATAGAGAAAAAAAGATACCATCGGATGCGTCTAAGTCAATGGAAGGAACATTGGGAGGAATGAGCATAAGAAAGAATTTGCAGATCGCGTAAGCGAAGGCGAGAACGATCACGCGCCGACGGAATGAGCTAGGCATCAGTTTCAGCTTCAACATCTCAACGCCCATAAAGATCCGAGTAGTTAAAAACAAGATCCAATGAGTTTGATTTTGTATGATTATCAAGAGAAGAATTTTAGAGAGAAGAAGAGAGGAGAGATTTGGAGAGTGCAAAACCTGGAGGAGGTATGGTTTCCACCTACGAGGAGAACTATTGAATTTTGTAATCCTACACTTTCATACACTTTCATACACTTTCATGTAATTTGAGAACAAATTAAATAAGCATTAAGAGGTTTCAGCTCAGAATTTCGATATAATAAATCCGAGCATCACCTGACTGTATATCCTTCTCTAACACTTGTGAAGTGACAAAGAAAACCCGTTTGCTTTTCCACAAGAAGGCTCTTTTCGAAGGGCATGTCTGACCCGTCAAGTCAATAGTCCATTTCTCAAAAATATATCTAAAAGTCTGATAAAAGAAGCAAACAAATTCTCAACATCTGTTTAAAGAGAATCACATACTCGAGGTATTCCAACAATATTATGACACGCCTCAATCTGCTGCATCACAAGAGGCCTAGACGGTACCGCAAATACAATTTTACCTAACAACAACAACAACAATTACAGCCTTCAACTACATTTCTAAATCACTAATCAAGAGATTTTCAGATGGAGGTTTTTACCTTCTGGAAACAATCTGAAGTAATTATACATAACAACTGCAGCTATAAGCGTTTTACCAAGTCCCGTAGGCAAAGCCACCAATGTATTCGAAAACAAAGCGGTATTCGTTATAGCAAACTGATAATCTCTAAGAGGAACACTCCCATTCACTGAAACACCAAACACACAAACACATTATTCATCACGACACCACAACTTACAAAGATTTATCAGAAGTTACAATCTCCCAAACCTGGATAAATCCAAGTTTTAGCTGCCTCAGGATCAATACCAACTATAGGACTCTTATCGTTACCACCACCACATTCAAATTCATCAAAATTCGACTCGGAAACAACTTGATTCTCCGGTTTATGCTCGGTTCTTCTGATGAATTTATCGAGAGTAGATTGTCTTTTCACAGGAGGCTTAGTGCTATTTCTTGTAATTGGAGGATGAGCCAAAGGAGTGAAATGGAAAGAAGAAGAAGCATTGGAGGTTTTAAGACAAGCCAAGTCGATTTCTTTGACTGCTGCTTCCCAATCGAACTCCTGTAGGAGAAAACCCAGAAGTTGAAAAATTGAAAAATCGATTCAAATAACAAAATTTTCAGAAACCTAGAAAGAGATTTTAACTCACTTCGTCTTCTTCGATGGTTTCTATTGGAACCCTAGATCCCATCTCTCTCTCCGACCCATCTCTGCAATTTTGTTCCATCTCTACAACTTTCATCTCTCTCTCTTGTTGAAATCTCCAATCAATCTACTTTAAAGACGTGATTGATGATAGAGAATTGGAGGTGGCGAATCTGAGGGAGAGAAGAAAAAGTTTAGTTGGGTTGTTGGAGAAGAGATTGATCGAAGAAGAAGAATGATGGAATCAGATGCTGGGAGAGAGAGAGAAAAGAGACGTCTTTTTTTTTTGATTAAGAATGGCAACATTGTGAATATGAGTTTTTGATAAGGTTTTTCTGGCCATTACACACTTTATCTTCTATTAGTGTAACAGTAAAAGCTGGGTGTTTTTTCCAATTGTAAATAGTGAACCGACTACCTGTACAATTAAGTTCAAAAAACGTACTATTTTGCAACTTATCCCTTAATTTAACTAGAAATGTCGTCATGTAAGAGTTGATCAACAACACAAACAGGAATAATTCTTCTTTCGACAAGTAATATAACAGGAATAATTCTTCTTTCAAATTGCAGTTTTTATTTTTGATTTTCGCTTTGGAATATTTAAGTTTGTTTTATTCAGTCAAGATTTTACAAAATTATTTCTCAAAAAATAACTTTTTAAAAAATCAATTTGATTGAAAAACTAAATCTTGTTATATCACAATCTTGTTTTGGATTTTTATAAGCCATGAATTTTTATAGTTTTTAAATACTTTTTGGATTTTGGATTTAGAATTTTGGTTGTGTTCTGTTTTTTTTACTAAATTTTATTGGTAAGTTTTTTTATGTTCTGGTTTTAGTTATATATTTTTTTAATGATTTCTAAGATTTTTTTTAATATATGTTTAAATTACTAAAATGAATACCTAAATCGTATCAATAAAAAATTATTTAAAAAGAATAACTAACAGAATTTTACAAATAATACAAAATTTTGATATGTGATACGAAAGATATAATAGGGATAAAAATGTTATTTAAAATTTTTATTTCTCAGAACTTTGCTCTCATATAGCAAAACAAATTGAAATTTAGTTAAAGATAAATGGCTAATAACAATAGCAATTCTTTAAAAAAAAAAAATTCTAAATGAAAAAAAAAAGTGGGGTGAAAAAGACTGATTTGAAGGAGAAGCCCATATATGAACGAGGGTTTCTACTTTATTTTCATTGAAAATTGGTATAAACACTACAAACATTTTTTCTAAATTTCCAAAACTTTGATGGTTATATTGTAGATTATGCAACATATCTTGCTTGATATTCCAAGTCTTGGTTTCTTCACAACCTATGCTGTTCTGATTCTCTTCTGGGCAATGATTCACTATCAGGTAATTTCTGAATTTTTTTTTTTCCTTCTTTGGTTCTGATATATTTACTCCACACTCTATGACTGGACAGGCGCGTGCGATATCCACCGATGGACTAAAGCCAAGCTTCTTCACAATTAATGCAATTGTATATGTAGTTCAGGTATATTAATATATACTATATAATTTTGTTTGTGAAATCTAAAAGACGTTTGTGAAAATTCAAAATGTAATTTTGTTTTTGTGAAAATTCAAAATGTAATTTTGTTTTTGTGAATATGGGTGTATAACTTTCAGATATCTCTTTGGTTGGTTTTGTGGTGGAACCCTATTCGAGTTATGGTAATCCTATTCCTATCTAAGATGTTCTTAGCAGGTAATCTGTTTCCATCCAATTTCACCCAAGCATGGTTACACAATATTTCTCTTGCTATATAATATATAGTACATTGGTTCTCAACTCTCTTGTGAATATAATTGTAGGTGTTTCATTGTTCGTCGCCCTTGGATTTTTACTTTACGGTGGAAGGTAAAACTGTCGACATTTGACATTTGACATATGAAATTGTGTTGCCTAGAGTCACCATTGAGGAACAAGTCATCTTGCTTGCATTCTTGTTCTCCTCTTACGCATGGCTAGACTAGATTCTCTTGGTGCTAAAGCCGAGTACATTTTCGTACCATTTAATATATTCATGCATTGGAGCTTGATTTCTTGTCCTTGTATGTCTATTTTCTGGCAGGCTTTTGCTAATGTTGCATCGCTTTCCAGTAGAATCTAAAGGGCGTAGAAAAAAGATGAAAGAGGTGAAACATCAAATTGTACAACGATATCAATCAAGTTTTACTATATGACGCATCATGACTCTTTCCACTCTTTCTCTCTTATGTATGGTAGGTTGGTTGTGTGACAACAATATGCTTTACGGGTTTCCTCATCCGATGTATCATGGTAAAGACACACACACACACACACACATGTTTATGTTGATATCTACCAATCCTTACCTTCTTGCTTAGACTTTATAATGAACAACTAACCAAAGGTTTTGTCATTTAATATGGTTTAGATGTGCTTTGCTGCTTTCTACGAGGGCGCAAACCTTGATGTGATGGATCATCCCATCCTTAATCTCATATATTACTTGGTAAGCTCTCTCTTAAACAAATCATAGAGTCTTAATCAAACCATTGTTTCTGCTTGAAAACTAATCTTGTTTCTTAATTACAGTTGGTAGAGATATTGCCGTTTTCTCTCGTTCTGTTCATCTTGAGAACCCTACCACCAAAACGACATGTACACGAAAGTTAATGATCATCAGACCAATTTTAATCCCAAAATTCTCTGAAGAATCTCAAGCTTTCTATCTCATTTGGATGTTAGCTTTAATAATCTAAGCTTTTGATCTTGATGGTCTTCTCCATTGACGGGCTTTTGAATATATCTGTTTGACACAATTTCTTCAAGTCTAATGCGGTTAATTAATTGATTTACCCCCTCTGTTTAAATATAATTCTTTCATGTTTTTAAGGATTTTTAACTAATTTTTAAATATTTGCTAACCCAATGTCCGTGTTTGTGAGTTTGTGTTAAAGGCCGGGTTTAGGATCCAAGACAACTAAATTAATAAAACTCTGATATACAATTTTGATGTATCTTCTCCTCATACTTATTGATTAAAACACTTAGCTGAAATTACAAGGAAAGAAGTTGACAAGAGAAGGGAATGGTCAATCCCTATTTATCAGTAATTTATTAGATTAAATTCTTGTTCATATTTATTTCATATCTGGAACATACTAATTCGTTTCCGATGATAATTTTCCGATTAAATTTTGGGCGTTCGACGACCAAAAAAATTGGGTGTTGACAAAAAATAACAGTAATCTATAAAAATAAAAATTTGGTATCATTTGATCAAAAAAAAAAATTTTGTATCAATCACTATACCACAATATCTTTTATGTATATGTATATTGATGAGCAAACTAATGAATCTTATAGGCCTTAAATGGTAACATAACAAAAACATTCAGCGGGATTCAGCAGATTCAGCAATTCCGCAGTCACCATTTGCATAAAACTAAATTCAGCCAGATTCAACAGTTTTTTCAGCACCAATAAATACGTAGATTCGTTTATATCTGGTAAAAATTTGGATAATAACGAGCACATAAGTCGAATTAAAATATTTTGGATATCAAAAATTACACATCAAATTTATATTCTTAAAATAAGTCAGATTATACACAAACGATATATAAATAATTCAGATACATAATATATCACTACCACAATATACAAGAGACGAATTCATATTCGGAAAACTATAGACATTTTTGGATAATTTTAATAATTTTAATAATTTTTAGATAATGTAAAATTTCGCAAAAACAACATAAAATAAAAAAATTAGATAATCTATACTCCCTCTGTATTTGAAAAAATGTCGTTTCAACTGTTTTTAGGTTAATTAAGAAAAGGCACAGAATTACAAAACTAACCTTAAGAGAAACGATTATTTACAATTATATTTTTGGTATCTGTAGTTTTGGTAATTTAGACTGATTAATTATGATCAATTAATTGGGGGTAATTTAGGAAATTTTATGCAAAAGTTGTTAAAATGACAACTAATTAAAAACACAGAAAAAAGGCTAGAACAGTTATAAATCACATATTGGATGGACTCCATAACCGTGGGCCTAATCCATATCCTAGAAGACTCATGTCCATGTTCTTGAAGATTCTCCTTATGACGGTTTATTTTATACTTAGTGGGCTTTTGGGCTTTAGGGTTTACTAGCCCAATGAGGATTTGTCTTCCCTTGTCATGTATATATATGTATCGAAACCTCATTCATTAATGAATAAAACAACAAGTTTTACAACACGTTATCAGCACGACTTGCTCTTAACGAAAACCCTAAAACCCTAACCCTAAAAATCGCGGCACAGTTCATCGCCGACACTGTTCATCACCGATACTGTTCACGCTGACACTGTTCATCGCTGACACTGTTCATCGCCGATACTGTTCACGCCGACACTGTTCATCGCTGACACTGTTCATCGCCGTACAGTTCATCGCCGACACTGTTCATCGCCGACACTATTCATCGCGGCACAGTTCATCGCCGACACTGTTCATCGCCGACACTGTTCATCGCGGCACTGTTCATCGCGACACTGTTCATCGCGGTACTGTTCATCGTGGTACTGTTTGCGGTTCGTTGCAGCAGCGTGAGTTACCGAGGTCTTTAGCTCCCGGTTCTAGTCCATACAACCCCATAAGGTGAAAGGTAGCATCAAAATTCTAAAGCTAAAGAACTAACAATTGAACTTGAAAGTTAAGCAAAGAGAAACCCTAAAACGAATGATGATTGATTAAGTGATTGCTTTGCTTGTATGATTCGATTGCTTGCTTGATCCGATTGCTTGCTTGCTCAATTGTTTAACTCGTTTAGGTTGCTAGAAAAGTTGATTATCGCTTAAGCTAAACTCGCCTAAGTTGCTAGAGAAGTTTTAATTATCTAAACCTAAAAATCGCAAATCGAAAATACCTAAACTAAGGCCGAAACTTTAAAAGCCTAAAACCCTAAAACTAAATCAGAACTAATCCGAAAATTCCATAAGTATAAATCGGCTTGCTTGAGGTTGTTTAGGTTGTTAGATTGATTGTTTCTTGATTACATGCATAAGTTGTTAGAAACCCTAAAACTAAAATCGCATGAACCCTAGAAAAACTTAGAAGAGATAATCCTAAAAGAAAATCTTAAAACCCTAAATCCTAGGGATAATAAGAAATCTTAAAATCCTAAATAAAATAGGAAATTCTAAAAACCTAAAATCTTAAAATAAAATAGAAAATCTTAAAACCCTAAATCTTAGGGATAATAGGAAATCTTAACAACCCTAAATCCTAAATAAAATAGGAAATCTTAAAATCTAAAATCATAAGTGAAATAGGAAAATTAATCCTAAAGTAAAGAGGAAAGTAAATCCTAAAAGGAAAAGGAAAAGTTAATCCTAATCAAAAGAGGAAATCTAATCCTAAGCAAAAGAGGAAAGTCAAATCCCTAAGTAAATCGATTCATGGTTCGGTCTCAAATACCGCATGACACTAACGATTACATGATTTTGACTCAAAACTTTTCCTTGTAGATGTTGAATTACAACTTGTACTTTACTGCCCTAAATCTCTTAGGAGATAATTATTTTAAAATGGGCAATGGATACTAAGATTATCCTAAAGTCAAAAGGACTTGGTGAATGTATCTAATAAGGCAAGAATGCCAAGAGAGAAAGATAGATACAAGGCAATATTAGCCACCATCTTATTGATAGTCTCATAATCCAGGACTATAAGTCTGTGGATGAGTCTATTGCTAGATGAGCAAAATAATGACTTACAGATAAAAACAGTGAATTACGACCTCATAGATTAACCCCATTACCTAATGCCAATAAGGCCGCAGAGGATAAGAAAGAATCCAAAGAATCTAACCACGTCTAAAGTGATAGACCACACGGCCGTGACCGTGGTGGATGGAAAGGACGTGGTTGTGGCCACTATAACTCATCCGGCTGTGGGAACCACTTTAACCGTGGATGTAGACCCAATTCCGGCCGTGGTCGAGGGCGAGGACGATGTGGTATTTCCAAACCACAACACTCGACCAAATGAGTATGCCATAGATGGGGTATTGAAAGGACGTGGTTGTGGCCACTATAACTCATCCGGCCGTGGGAACCACTTTAACCGTGGATGTAGACCCAATTCCGGCCGTGGTCGAGGGCGAGGACGATGTGGTATTTCCAAACCACAACACTCGACCAAATGAGTATGCCATAGATATGGAATGGGAAACCATTGGGCTAAGATATGTAGGACTTCCAAACATCGTTGTGACCTCTATCAAGAGAGTGTAAAAAGGAAGAATCCTAAAGCCCATTTGGTATATAAAGATGGTGAACATGATCAAGATGATCTAATAGAGTATGAAACTTCTGATTGCATAAAAGAATCAAGTTGATAAATCTTACTTCGACATCAAAACCTCTATGTTTTTCTTTGCATTTTATGTGTTTATTGATTGTTATTTGCTTGAATTTATTTTATATTATTTTATGTTTAGAACATGATTCTTGTCCATATAAGAAATGGCTGAGGACAAGAACATAATTGTGGTGGATAGTGGAGCCACACAAAAGACAAGAGATATTTTCCTAAATCTCATAATAAAAATGCCAAATTAGCACTATAGCGGGTATAACAAATCTTATTGAGGGCTACGACCAAGCCCATATTCTATTACCAAATGGCACGCATCTTGAACTAAGCGATGCCCTATATTCACCCAGCTCGAAGAGGAGCTTATTAAGTTTCAAAGATATAAGATTGAATGGTTTCCATATTGAAACAAAGGGTGAAGGGAACAAAGAGATCACCCAAGGACATAAGAAAGTCCTAGAGACTATACCCGCATTATCCACTGGTCTCTACTATGCTAAAATCGATATGATCGAAGCTAATATGGCAATGAACAAAGAGTTCATCGAGAAATTCACTTTATGGCATGACCGGCTTGGCCATCCGGGTCATAGTATGATGCGTAAGCTTATTCAAAGGGGCACACCCTAAAAGAGAAAAGAGTTATCCCTAAGAATTTCACGTGTGAAGCATGTTCACAAGGGAAACTCATTATAAGGCCATCACCGGCTAAGGTAAATAAAGAGACCTTAAAATTTCTGGAAAGGATACAAGGAGATATATGTATGGTCCTCATTGATGCATCGACAAGATGGTCGCATGTTTGTCTCCTATCTACTAGAAACCAAGCGTTTGCTAGGTTATTGGCCCAGATAATAAGACTGCAAGCCCACTTTCCAGACTTTCCGCTTAAGACTATACGTCTAGACAATGCTGGTGAATTCACGTCCCAAGCGTTTAATGACTACTGTATGTCCATGGGGGTAAGTGTGGAACATTCCGTAGCACATGTACATACACAGAATGGATTAGCGGAATCCTTCATTAAACGAATTCAAATGATAGCTCGACCATTACTCATGAGGTCAAAGCTCCTAGTAGCCGCTTGGGGACACGCTGTTTTACATGCATCAGAACTTATACGCATAAGGCCATCTAGTGAACATAGATATTCACCATCCCAATTACTCATGGGTCATGAGCCAGACATATCCCATCTAAAGACTTTCGGGTGTGCCGTATATGTACTGATTGCTCCACCACATAGAACAAAGATGGGACCTCAAAGGAGGATGAGAATATATGTTGGATTTGATTCTCCCACCATTATTAAGTATCTAGATCCAACTACGGGTGATCTATTTAAGGCTAGATACGCGGATTGTCATTTTAATGAATCCGAATTTCCTACTTTAGGTGGAGAGACAAACAAGCTGGTCAAAGAAATATCATGGAATCA